TTCCCTTTGGAACCAGTATTCTGTGCCATCGCATACGATAAAAAAGGGCTCCTACGCGAGATAGCATGAGATGCCCCATTTTTCACTCCCAGGTCGTCGTAAATCAATGGTCTACAACGTGGTGCGGCCGCTAAAGGGTAATACTTAGAGGCTGAGGTGCGATAATTGGTGCCTGCTCAAAAATACTAACAGGGATTCTAGTAATGGGAAAGATGAAGAGGTGAATTTAACGGTCAGAAACCTGCGAAAAAACCCATGTCCTGCATGGCATTGGAAGGGCATTTTTGGGTACAGTATGCTTCGCTGCGGAGAAGGGGTGCATCAGGCATTGTTCACAGCCTATGACCCTAACGAAAGGCGGAGAAAAGCAAAAATAGTTATCGCCGCTATTCGCCAACCGCCGCGGTTCGGCGGGGCGAAAAGCAATAGATGTGTATCGATTTCGCTGGCGAAAAACGCCACGGCGATCGAGCTAGCGTTTCGTCGAAGGCGAAAAACGTCGCGGTTTGGCGAAACGCCCGTCGATTCGTATCAAAACCCTTTCGCCCAACCGCCAGACTCTTCGCCCAACCGCCAGTCGATACGTATCGAAAGCTTTTCGCCGAACCGCCGCGTTCCAGAGAAACGCTGGACCGCAGACTGTGAACAATGCATCGGGCGGATGAGCTTGGCTCGGTGCCAGATCCGTTCTCCACCAGTTGTTGAGGCGAACAAGTGACAAGACTGATGATTTCGTTCGTGTCCCTCGTTTTCTATCAATGGTTGTCGCATACCCGCTTCAACAACTGGCAGAGAACGGGTTTGGCGCCGTGGCACACTCATGCTGCCTGACACGCCCCTTCAGCCGTAGCGAACTAATAGATGTTAGACTCTCATATATCCATGCAACAGCATCCATATCAATTTTACTTCATAAATCGAAAGATAAAAGTTCCAGCGTCGATTGACTGTGCGGCCATTTATGGGCGGGCGGTTGCGATGGGCGTCCGGGTCGGCATGTTGCACCTTGGTTGGATGCTGTAACGGAGGCCTTGGATGAAAAAGCCACACAGCGCCTGCGAAGAGGCGAAACATTCTGTCGTGCTTGGCGTATCCGACCCTTTATGCCTTTATCGTGCCGCTTGAGACTGAGCGATCAGCCAGTTTGTGGCATGGTTCTTTGTTCAAGTAGTTCGGATTGCGATTTGTGTCACTGCTCCACTTTCCTGGCTGCACAACGAGTAAGAAGAGCACTACTGCCGTCGAAGGTATAAGATGAAAAAAAATTGAAGGTATGTACCGTACCTTAGAGGTGCCTCGACTATCGACCAGTATTTTAGTGATAATGTCCGCGAGTAGAGGCTATTCATGCCGTGCGGTACCAACCCGCAATTTCCTTCGCCTACGATCTTCGGGCTCGCTCTCCAGTGCGTGATTTGAGGCTCCCAAAACTCCTTTGAATGCCTCTTTCAAAGAGGTGCCGTTGCTGTAAAAAGCTTTTTTGCCGTTGTGCTACGGGTTGTGCTGTTTCTTGCCTCGTAAAAATTGTTACAGTGATCGGAGTCGGACAGCCCGCTAACGAAATGTGGCTAATGCCGTTTGGACTCCAGAAATTTCGGCTCCGAGCTCATTTTAAAAGTGGCAAGATCACCAAATCCGCTAAAAACTTGTATATAGGGGTAATTCAACATCCTGATCACGAATATGACATTCATTTTTGGCGCTGGCGCTAATGGATGACACTACGGTTACCTGCGCTCTGCTAAGGCTGAGCCCAGGAGGTAATCGTTGGCGCCAGCGCCAAGAATGAGTGTCATACTCGTAATCAGGATGTTGAATTACCCCTATATACAAGTTTTTAGCGGATTTGGTGATCTTGCCACTTTTAAAATGAGCTCGGAGCCGAAATTTCTGGAGTCCAAACGGCATTAGCCCGGAATGTTGGTGGTGATTACCGTGAACTAACGCAAAGCCTTGCTCCATCGGCATCCATAAATATGATGATGCGATACTGAAATCGCCGCGTGCAAGAACTGCGCGTGATGCGACCAGCTCACTATAGAACCAACCTTTCCCCTTGGTGCGCACCGAAGGCCGAATTGGACAAGGTGCTGTATTACAGCAATTTATTGGGCATGCATAAAATTGAGCAGAACAATGACTTCTGTTTGGATTGCATTTTTGATATGCATCGAATCGCCGCAATCAGTCGGAGCGTTGCCAAGAAGCATGGACTGAGTCCACCACCGGCGTTCCTACCTCTGCTACTTGTCCTCCTTAACTGACCACTAACAGATCACTCTGGTGGAGGAGGTAGCCAGCGCGTACTCATTCCCTCACTTGAGAATCGGAAATAATCAATTATAGGAAAAAATCTCAACATGGAATAGGATCCCATCCCTCGTGACTCCCACAACGATGATACCGGTGATATACAGTGCATATCCTAGCGGTGGAGTGGGCGTGGCTAGGTGATTCACTTGGACATGTTGTAGAGTACTGTGTACATGGGATATTTTTATTTGATCGAAGTGTTGCCCTATCTCGTACTGGACAAAGTCATGATTGCAACTGTTCTGAAATTGCTAAATTGCAACACCCCTCCAAAAGAGCAGGTGCCGCCACCTTCAAATGGAGTACGCAGCCACGGACTCCCCATCTCTGGGATATGGAGCCTACCTGTATTATAGCCTGTTAATAGTTGCTACGACCAACAGGCAGGGTGTGAGAAGCCCCCATCGAGAGAAGGCCCCAAGATTGCTTGCTGCAATCTTAGTAAACGCTCCTTTCACTAGCTCAATTGAGAGTATTTCTTGACTAGACTCCCGTAGGAAGGAGCCGGCTTGGTCAAGTAACTCGCACGTCGTACGATGCGAAGTTCTCAACGGGAGGATCGTATTTGCCGTAAATTTTTATCTCGAACAATGTTCGGGCTTTTGAAGAAGGCGACATGGTTGAAATCTGAGGCCAAATGTTGATTCGTTCGGCAATCTCGTCTGGCAAAAGAACACTATTTCCATCTGTTCCTTCTGAAATCAGAAACAGCAATGACGGCGCACGGTAGTTACAAAAATTTATTCGTTCTTATTTGAGCGATCTCATCGATATGCGATAGCGACATTGTATCTAACACTTGATTTATTAGTTACCAGATCGTTTACTCGGTGCCATAGCCTCCTCCACCGGGTGTCTGTATATGAAGGATATCCTGGAACGACACAATTATAAACTCTAATCACAGAACTAAACCTCGAGAAGGGTAGTCACTCACTCCAGGGTCCACTCGTAAAGTGATCTTCCCGCCAAGGTTCACGGTACGCGACTGTTTTTTCAGTATGTTCACACCACGTGCACCTTCTCCTCCGCCTTTGAGACCGTATGGAGCAAAAACTCTGAAAAAAAACCTGGTTCAGTGAACAACGCTCCATCTCATGATTAAATATTAACCGTCTTTCAGTGAGCAAGGCCAGCGAGAGAGGTCTTCGGAACTGAAGGCTCCGAACCACTCCATCTCCTCCACGCCATTTTCCTTTTCCTCCAGAATTTTCGCGTAAAGAGAACTCGCGGAGAATAACGGGATACCTGACAAAAAGCGCTACATTACGAATGCTTCTCCTATGGCGGCGTTCAGACTTCGCGATGACGTGGTCGAGGCGCTGTAACGTGCTATAATTGCAACAACGCTCAAACCTTATATACTCGAAATCCCTGAGATCGGGTAGGCGTGGCTGCATGCTTCAACTTAACCTGAAGGTGTCTATGCTTCTGGTGAGATATTTTCATCTTGACACAATTGTTGTCGTGTCTCTGTCCAACACAGAACAAGATGACAGTTGTCCCAGACTGGAATATTCCACGAGTTCCGTGCCATGTTCAAATGCCACGCCTACCCTGGCTCAGGGATAAGGAGTGTAGACTCGAACGCAGCCGAGACGGTAATTGATCGGCGTCGAACAGGCGGTCAGTGCCGATCGATTGCCGTCTGTGGCTGCGTTCGCATCTAGTGGAATGGGGCGCTGTTGCAACTTTAGCGCGTTACAGCGCGCCATCGCGAGGTCTGAACGCTTCCCAAAAGCAAGATCTAGAAACTCAAGGAATGTTGTGAGTGAACGCACCTGCTTTCCAGAATCTCCGGATCTGTTATCCTCGTATTTGTCATATGTGTATGAACTCCACTCCTGCCGTTAAAACCTTCTCCAGCACCGGCACCTCCAGCAATGGTCTCGTAGTAACCCATCGTTTCATCACCGAACGTCACATTATTCATACAGCCTAAGCAGGCTGATTTATGAAAGACCATGGAACAACAACATTTTGTTGTTTCCTTCACACATTGCAGTAGTAAACATTTTAGAAAGATGCCCAAAGCTCACCCTGACTGGCACTCACTGCTTCAAATGCTCCCAAAATAACATCGCACAGCCTCTGGCTCGTCAAAACATTGCCACCCACAACAGCAGCATATTCGGAGGGTGAAAGCAACGTTCCTTCGGGAATTGATATCTACAAATGGCAACAAGAGTTGAAGAACTTTGAGTGATCGATGAGAGTTTTTTTACAATCTTGTTGCGAACCATAAGGTCGAGAACCATAATATTACACTGCACATCTCAGCGATGGAGCGTAAGTGGCTGTGGGGCTGTCTTTAAACATGGCATAGGATGCGTTTATGTGGGTATTTCCTTTTGACAAAAGGGTTGTCCCTCCTTGTACTGGACAAAATGATAAATCCAACTGTTCTGAAAAAGCACTATCCCTCCAGAAGCGCAGCTGCCGCAATGTTTAAATGAAGCACGCAGCCACGGACTTCCCCCCCCCCCTCTGTGATATGGATTATATACTCTGGTCGCCGTGGATGAAGGAGTGAGACAAACAGTATGAAAGGGCCACAAAGCCATACCTGTTCTCTACCAGATGTTGAAGCGGCTATGCGACAACAGTTTGTAGAAAATGAGTGGTACAAACGATATGATACAGCCTTGCCAGTTGCTCGCTTCATTACCTCGTCGAGAACGTGGTTTACAACAGGCCATACTTATCCCGCCTGACACGTCCCTTCAGATAGCGCGGGTCTAACATATTATACTGATAAGAAAGTAATCGAAATTTAGATCATCTAGTACTAAGTCCGAAATTCAGGAGCATAAGTCGATAAAAAAGTGATTGGCGTGCTCAAAAGGCTAGGATGTCTATCCTCTCGTCGCTTCAAACGCTGATGAAACGTTTCCGTGTGCTATAATAACGTATTCCAAATCCATTATCTCAACATCCCAACACTTGGACTCATCCTCATTTCTTGCGTAATCGACAAGAAATATTTAAGGAAACAAATATTGGTCATCTTTCTGGATAATTCCATAATATATTCACTGGAAATATATTTTATTTGCCGAAAACTTGCAGTTATAGGGTTGAGACAGCCGCTGTTCAGTGGAATATCCTTTGCTACCAGACATCTCAAGCAATAAATAATTGCCGACATTGTGACAGCTTTTGGGCAATTGCACGAAGAAAACACTTCCATCCCAGTGCCAGCAAAGTCAAACAATGCTTCGCCCTAAAACGAAGGACGCATAAGAACATAAAACACCCAACCCGTGCTTGGGTAAGCTTAGGGTTTCGAGAGTTTGAGTAAAAGTAAAGTAAAGTAAAGTGAATCAGTGCGTTACACGACTTTACACGACTTGCCGACCTTCTCTACATCAATCGTGATTCTTAGTTGGATCACGGTTCCGTCATCCATTGAATCAGAGGCCTGCAGACTTGAGTTGCCAGTTCTTTCAAGTACTTTTTTACCCACCTGAAAACAAGAAAAGACAAGCTTAGCAAACCAGATGAAAATTTACGCGTAGACAATAATCCGCCTACTTCTTTGAGCATTTCTCTCACACTTTCTTCTGCAGTGGATTGAATATGCAGCATATAGGCTTGTACGACATCGAGACCATACTCACTTATGAGATCGCATACTAATGAAATTCCCTGAACAGAAATTTGAATTTACAACCTGGGACCCAATATCATTAAGGCTTTCGGAGTTCACAGCCTTTGCTGGAAAAGCACTTACCTAGACAGGACTACTTACCTACTCCATCCACCTCTTCCATCACTAGCCCGCACGCACGCACGCACGCACGCACGATGCATGCACGCAGCACGCATCCAAATTCAGAAGGGACGTATAACGGAACAAACATCGGCAGTCCCGTTAAAACTGACCATGAAACGTTAACCACACCAACGATGTGGGCTCTCACCTTATTATTGGCAGCAATTTGTGCTTTCAAATCGGCGATGTTGTCGGCGAGATTACGAGTACCAGAACAACCTTAACATTCTCACTAGATATCGCCATGACGTGCACCGCATAAATGCCTGCAGTCATACCAGGTATACTTGCCGGCTTGTTCAATTTGTCTATCAAAGTATCTTCACGAAAAACTCCTCTATCGACAATTTTGAACGATATAAAGGTTGCTCCTTCCTGTATAAAAGAAACAGATTTTAAAAATGATAAGCAATTGTAGGAAGTTTGATAGTATCGCACCTGTTCTAAAGAAGTAGCATTTGGTGGCATACTGCCCGGAACAATACCACCTATATCTGCGTGATGACCTCGGTTTGCCAGAAAGAATACTGGTTCAGCTATGTTCTCGAAAAACACCTAAAATGAACATAATTTTGCTGAATCTTTATCTTCAAGCTTATGATTAGTTTCTCTGCATTACACATAAAAGGATCTCATCCATACTAGAGTTATCCTTTACGGGAGAAAAGTACTATGAACAAACTTTGAACAAAGAATATAATTCTATAATTTTTTATTCCTAATTAATAATTTTCATCTTTTCACACTCAGCTACACTGCAGAAAAGACAAACCAAGCTGATAACAGATTTTCAAGCAGTTCGAATTTACGTCACATTACCGGTGTGATTATGGTAAGATCTGGTAGATGGCTTCCGCCGGCTCTCGGGTGATTTGATAGGATGACATCGCCTTTATGAATTCCATCCAACCCAAGATGATCAATTTGATACCGTACGGCGTACTGCATTCCGCCTTAAATTACTGCATACCGTCTCAATGAAAGTCGGTAAGATTGGGGTAATATTTAACACAAATCTAATGTACAGGAATGTGAGGTGCATTCGCTATTAATCCTCCCTTCGGATCAAATAAAGCACAAGAGAAGTCAAGACGTTCCTGAAACAAATAGAGGAATTGATCAACCATTCAATAAACCTCTGCTTGGGCAGCAAAACAGAAGGTAAAACTGATGGGAAAAATAAAATCACCAAAACACCTTGATATTTGTGGAAATAGCTGTTCGCTGCAGTACCCTTCCCATTTGCTCAGCAATGGACATGAATCGATTTGAGAAAATTGAAAGTCGTATTGGATCCATCTAAACAGCAATAATGAATTCACAGAACTTTCCAGAACAGGATGCGTAGACAGCGTTCAGACTACGCGAAGGCAACTACCAAAGAAATTTTTTCAGGCCCAAATACGACCTCCTGTTGGTAATTCCCAACAACGATGTGCCCTGAATTGGGATCCAATGCTATAGACGGCACGTAGCCGTAGAGATGTCAATCGACGAAGGCCGACGAGAGTATGAGAGGATAAGGGTCGTCTAATCGCACGGTCTGGCGCCCCAATGTTCTTCTATACTCACAAAATACTAGCAACGACGCCGGTACCAGACATTGTGATTAGGCAGCATATACCCCTCTGTTCTCCCATGCACTCTCAAAGCAGTAGCGGACAGGGCCCAATCGTTACCCGTCTATTGCCGCGTTCCCGTCTGTAGCACAGGAGCGTTGTTGCAATTGTAGCGCGATGACGCGCCGCATCGCGAAGAGTGAACACTGCTCAAAACGCAATGAAAATTTTACTAGGGATCCCTGCCAACTAACAAGTCCGCATCACCTCTTACGTTATCCATATTATGTAGGGGCAACAGTTTAATTTTTTAGGTGGTTGCAGGGATACAAATGAGTGAAAATTTGTCCTAGAAAAAGGGATTTTAGGCCAAGTAAACGGTGTATGATTGAGTGAATTGTTAAACAACCACTATGTTCCCCTACTGTTCACTAGGAACTACACTCCCTTGTCTCGCTCACTCTCAAAACGCATGCAGAAGTTTGTAAAGTCATCTACTAGTAGCAGCGTTCAGACACCGCGATGACGCGCGTCAACGCGTACTATTGCAACAACACTCCACGCTTTTGATGGGAACGCATCCATAAATAGGTGTCGAACGGCGCCCTCCCCTTGCATTTAGTATGAGAGAACTGGAGTGAAAGTGTTGCTTAATCAAGCAGTCTGGAGCCCTCCTACTCTCCTGTACACTCCCAAAACACAGCTCCCAAAACACAAGCGACCTGCGCCTGTCACTACCTGTCTATGTAGTGACAGGCGCAGGTCAATATATCATTGCAGCGCCACTGCAGCGAAAGCGCGTCGACGCGCGTCACCGCGAAAGTCTGCCTAGGGATTCCTGCTCTTTTGTTGCTTTTTTTGATAACTCAACTTTGTTGTGATGTTTTGTTCCCGTTTGCTACTAACGTTCAGGCGAATAGTTCCATCTTTTGTGATAGTAGCTGAACACAGAGGTTCCACAACGATCGTACTGAAAATGAAATTGGGAAAAATACATGAAAACAAAGTCCAGTATCACACCTGTTCTTGTCGATGATCATCGCCGGTCCCTTTATATGGTGCCCACCTAGAAGACTCGAAAGTTTATAGACAGCCGTCTCTTGAAAACCACCCTGAATTATACTGTTTGTGCAGGATGCCAATAGAATGAGTGAACCACTTTTGAATCTCACTTCATAAAAAGTCCTCGTATGAGTCAATGGCACGGCACTATCCGGGTCAGAAGTCATCTCAATATGCTCGTTGCTTTTAATTCCAGAAGAGGCTACTCCACGGACTCTGAAATAACCATTGTACAGCGGAATACATATTAAAGGCACTGGGCACGATGATTTCCCACTCGGCCTAAAATGCTAGTAGGGCGCTATATAGTGGGAAATGGCGAAAGAACGGAGTGAAACGGTCAAAATCCGGCGAAGAAAAAGCCTCCGTTCTCAGTGACTTGAAAATCGATTTCGGACGAGTTTCCCGTACGCATCTTGCCAATCACCGCTACCGAAGATACGCATATGTGTACCCATATATGCATGCAGCATCACGGCCGCTTCATACCAATCCCTTTGCTTCATAATTTGCTCAGCAAATGAATGAATACGAGCGTCAGGAACGGTCGTCCCTTTGTGGGGCGGGCGAGGAAGGCGTTTGGGACGTAGTTGTTGCTCGATAGAGCGTTATCCTGCCAAATGCCTTTAAATATTTGACCATTACTACGAGATCCACCAACCTAATATCATCGATAATTATGTCCCGATCTTCTAGTACAAAACCAAACTCTCGCTTATAATTGACGAAGAAGGTCTTCACAAAGTTGTTCAATGTACCCGGATTCTAAAAAAAATAACTTCAACTCTCTCACTCTATACACTCGAAATCCCTGCGATGAGGTAGGCGTGGCTTTCAACTAAACGTCGTGGTGGCTATGCTTTTGGAGAGATATTTTCATTTTGACCCAAATGTGGTCACGTCTCTGTCCAACAAAGAACAAGATGGCGGTTGTCTCAAATTGAAATATCCCACGAGTAACCAGTTCTGTGCCATGTTCGAATGCCACGCCTACCCCGTCTCAGGGATAAGGGGTATAAGAACCTGAATAACAATAACTTACTTCAGGATCATAATCGGCCGTGATCATTATCGCACAATCAGTTCTAGCGAAGCGCATATGTAGGAAAGGTTCACAATGAACTTCTTGAAAGCCCTGTTCTTTCAAATCGTTTGTGGCTTTTTCCGAGAGAGCAGTCAAACGTTCGGCGAGCAATGGTGTGGATTCTAAATGGCAATACGAGAAGTACAACCCTCTTCTCTTCAGTGTAACCGCTACAACACTCACCAGATGAAAACACGAGATTTGCAGGTTCTTGCACTTCGCTAACCACCCTAGCCATTGCTATTCCATAAGCAGATAGGAGACTGGCATATTTGTGGATCAGTAACAGTACTAATACCTGAATTACGCTTTATTTAAGTCGACATTAACAAAATAAAAACAGCAGGGTATGTAGGATTCATATGGCACAGCTATGAATTAACCACATGGTAAAATCACCTAGACTCTGGGCGACGGCACACGCATGTTGTCCGCCAGCCCCTCCAAAGCAGGCGAGTACGTGTGCTGATGTGTCATAGCCTCGAGCCTAAAATATTCCTAAATTACTACATGTTCGAATGGAAAGGACAGCTAACCCACAGTCAGATTGAGGCCTATCTTTTGCTGTGTACCTACCGAGATTCCGAAGAAGATTAGAGGGCAGTGAGATTAGGCTAAGTACCAGGTGAATTAGTATACGTTATCAAGCCCACCAGCGAAGTCTGCTTGGACCCTTGGTTTCTTTTCCGATACCCATACGCCAGATTACATTCTTCTTTTGACGGGTGTGTCTTGCGAATGAGTTTAGCGCGACGCCGAACCCGTTTTCTAATGGTTGTTGAAGCGAGCAAGCCAGGAGACTGCATAATATTGTTAGTATCAGTACTTTATCATCAACTTGTCGCTTAGCCGCTTTAACAACTGGTGGACAACGGATCTGGCGCTGCGCCAAGCTCACCCCACTGACACTCTTTTTAATCCGCGACGGATAAGGCTAAACGCAAGTTGACTGATCAACCGCACTGGGAGTCCTGGCATATGGTGAACAGTCGGAATTTCCTCTTCTCTTCTCGTCTTCCGAGTAACATCCTTCACCACTTCAAATACCACTATCCGAGAATTTCAGAGAATTTGCCCACTGAAACTTCGCCTGCGGGAGGTTGTAAGAACGCCCTGGTCTGGAAAAAATTGAATGCCGTATTCGGGATTGGGACACTCAACTAATCTGTAACGCAAAATAGTCACGAATTCGTTGGTGAAAAATAGTGGCGCCAAGTCTGCGCTAACGCCGTTCTGGCGCCAAACAGCGCCGGTGGTAAAAATAAATCATGTATTTGCAATCTGAACGCCAAATAACCCTAGTGTGCAAGTTTACACCGTTGTTGAGAAGTGCCCATTTTCCTAAAGCATACCACGTTCTCAATAAATAAACAGCGCACAGTCAATATACTAGAGCATAACTTTCCAACCGAAACTTCTAAGTAAGCCAATTTATTTTCGGAACAGGAAATGCCTTCTAAAGCGGTATGAAATTACCAAACCTGCGTAATAGCCCTGATTGGACGACACATCTCCTCATTCGCAACATTTACAAAACCTAGGGCAGCCTGAAATTTAAGAGATAGATGAGAGAGAGAGATGTCATTTCAAGTGATATTTTGCGCAGGTGATCACACTACCTCTTCAACGGAATATTCCTTCTGTATGGCATCTGGATTACTTCTGATAAACTTATTGATTTGTTCGGTGACTTCTTTCATAGCAGTATACGAGGCTTCGCTGAATAAAACCGTTAAGCAAAAACGGCTGTCACAAAAACTGTGAAAATTTTTTGAAGATCTTACAGACCTATCCAGAGGCTGATCAGAATTAGGACCGAAGATTTTGGGGAAATACTCCGGCATTATGCGTCCCAATACAAGATTTGCATCCGTGATTGCCGGATTTCTAAAAAATATCGCCTCGTGTAAAAATGCTCGAGAGAAATATATCAACTTCAGGCTCCACACAGCTGAAGAGAACAACGGAGCTTGTTGGACTGAAGCTCTTTGGTAGCAAAAAGAATATAGAAAGAAGGCTATAGGACACATACAGACCAGTTTACAAACCACTAACCCTCCTTTTCGGTAACAAACAGGTCCTGGGTGAGCACCAACGCTTTCTGGACCAACCACAAAGATCCCATTGTCGAAGAATAGTCTGGATCCGCCGCCAGCTGCAACGGTATTGATGTCCAACTGTAATATCTCCACTTTTTCAGAATTTCGAACTACTAGCAAATTTTAAGAAAGTAATCAATGTAAAGTGCACCCGAATGCCTCACCGTTTTACTGTCAAGTGAGAATTCAGCACGAAAACTCTAGTGAGCCTTTTTTGCCTTTACGCGCATAAAGATGCAGAAGCTGCTGTGTAACTCAAATTTTGGAACAACTCCAATAGCCTTCATAACCAGCATTAGAAATGCTCAGTAATCTTCCACTAATACTATTCTTTGGCGCTCTCTCAAACATATTTACTTCACGGTAGTCTCTAATTTTCTACTCTTTGACTTTCTGATTTTCTTTTACAACAGCACCCAATCAACAATGCAAGGGTGAACCCGAGGTTCAATGACTCGTCTCCAGTCAAACCGGTGGCTACAGCCAACTCATAATTTCCAGCCGGTGCTAGGGCAAATTACAAAAAAAAAATTACTTGACAGGCGTTCCCTTACTAATACGACCGCTGTGGTCAGCGAAGTTAAGGTTCTACAAATCGACGTGGTGTTTCAAACATCAGTCTGGCCCCAATTTGAGCAGGTCCCCACTTTTTTCGAGCCCTGTCAGCTAACAATTATACTTGCTCCTTCTAGCCATTGTTTCCTGGTTGGACGACTTCGCAGTTGAATCGGCAGTCGTTGCACTGGGTACCACAAAGAAGGAATGCCTCACTCAGACCTTTCATATTTTTTCAGTTTTTTTTTCATTTTTCTGCCATCCGTGGATTTAAGACCATCATAAACTATTTTCTAAGGATGTCAGGAGTGTTTTGAAACGGTACTGTAGCCTAATTCAGGAACGCAGCATACATTTTGGCCCTCGCCGTCAGTTCTCAGCACGGTGTTTTTTAGGCAAGGACCAATATCAGACACCGACAATACATACAAGTAAACATACACATACACACCGCACTTCACTTCAACATATAGAGGGATAGAAGGGAGGCAATCCCCTGCTTGACAAACCTGTGGCGCTTGGATCGTAACACCAGCAGTTGTCGTCTCCATAACGTGTTCTAATGCTCCAGAATAGCGAGAAACCTAAAAATAAGAAGATTTTCATTTAATTTTACGAGCAAGATAGCAGCTCCTATGGACGAATGTCCGCATCAGAAAAGAGCAATCTTTCAATGTGAAAGACTTCTGGTTTGGTTACTGAATAAACTTCCAGATGAGTTAGTCACAGGCTCATAAGGTAATAAACTGGTTTCAAAATTTTGGCTGAACCGCTGAACGGGTCAAAAGGTGTTCAAACCAATGAGGAGAGTAAAATGTAGGGCAGCGTTCATACTTCACGACTGGGCAATTCTGCTGCACGATTCGAGAATCGGACTCTGACTGCGACCGACCACGCTCCATTGCTGATCGTTGAACTAATAAAACTGCTACTTTATTCGCATTAGGCAGCGTTCAGACTTCGCGACGGCAGCGCTTCGGTCGCGCGTTCGACGCGATCGATGCAGTCGAAAGCATGCGCATCGATCGTCGAATCGCGCGACCGAAGCGCTGCCGTCGCGAAGTCTGAACGCTGCCTTAGCGATAAATCATCCTTCATCTGTTGCAGTGGCTCAACATTGGCGACGGAGCGCAGTCGTTCGCAATTGCGCGCTTGAATCACTCCAGTCTTGGAGTACGAACACGTCTAGGAGTTTGTCGCATAGCACTTACATCAGTCGAGGTACCTCCCATATCAAATCCAATCACTGGACTTTTTGTTGTTTTATCATAAGCAGTGAGAGCCACACCGATGACCCCACCAGCTGGACCTGATAGAATTGCTTTCGAGCCGAAGAAACTGCAATTAAATTATGGACTGGTCAGTTTGTTTTGTCAGTTGTTATCAATTCGGCGATTGAGAACTGCCAGCTCACTTTTTAACATTGCAAAGGCCACCATCAGATTGCATGAAATCAACTCTCACACTCTTAAGCCCATCAGCAAAGCCAGACTCGAATCCATCGATGTATTCTCTGATCTTCGGTGTCAGGTATGCATCAGCACACACTGCAAATTCAACATTAAATGTGACACACAGCTCTAAGGTAAACACCAGGGTGAGCACAGTGAATAAACAGACAGAAAAGATAACGACAGCGACAAGCATAACGCCTTATAGCGTGAAACGACTTCAGCGCCTTCAGGAAATACCATAACTGAGTGAAAGGTCTGGGAGGTACAAATCTCCTTCTACCTATATTTTTTTATTCTCTCATTGTTATTACTTAATTTAACATTCTCGCGTTCAAGTATTTGGGCATAATCACAAACCAGTAGCCGATAGCTGACACTCGTACAGAAGGAAGGAAAAAATGAGAATCCCTAAACAAAGATCCTTCCCTGTAAATTACATGGGTTCACTGGACGTTCTTTGGCAAACAGCTGGCAGCAACTTGCTGGCAAATTGGCACCCTTGCGACCTCTGTGCAACCCCTGGCTCACAAATCGTTTCTTCGCATTTTCCAGTACTAAATGCCATTTAATAGGAGAAAAAATACCAAAGAACAGAAAACAGTGTAAGAGAAAATAGCTTTCGAGAATTCTGTGATGAATTAAGAACTAGCAATTTTTTGCACCAACGCGATTGCATCCTTGCTGAATTTAAGGGGCTCATGATATCTGCCAACCATGACGACTCCTTTCTCCTGAATTTCTCCTTCCTTTTTCCCCCCCCTTCCTTCTCTCTTTCCCTCTTCCTCATTTTCCTCTCTGAATGCTCAACCGAAAGGAACGATGGGGAAATACATCTGAACCCTGACAGCGAGAGGCAGGGTACAGCACTGGGATATGCGAACTGGAGGTGTGAGTACTACCCCCCCCCCTCGAAGAGGATCCAGATACGAAC